AAATATATATACTAAAGCAAGTAATAATGGTAAAAATTAACAAAAAGATTTTGATGTTAAACTTATGATCAATAAACATTACTTTATGAAGAGAAGAACCTATATATTCAATTCAACCTCTGTCTAATTTTATTTGTCATCTTTTTAGTATTTTATGTTATTTCTCTTATTCTAATAAAACATTGCAATCATTCTTTTTTAATTAAAAATTTGCGAAACAAATTTTAATGATTTGATCTAGCAGTTTCAATTTTACAAATAAAAACCACCAATAATGGGAATCAAATATAGATCTCGTATTGTATTGCAAATTAATATAAAAAATATTATTATATTTTTTATAGTAATTTGCAAAAAAATATTACATATTCATTTAAAAAGATCAAGTAAAAGAATTCCAAAAAAGACAAAATAAACATTTCTAGCAAAAATGTATTTCTTCTTTTTATTTCAATTATAAAAAATACAAAACTACAAACCTTTTTTTTGTTCAATGGAGAGTTTTAGGCAATCTAAGCAACATGAGAGATTATTTTTAGTAACATGTTGGTATGAGTTGATATAGTTATCTGGAAGCCTATTTCAGTATTCTGTGTTGTTGGAATAAACTGAAGCAGGCAATCAGTTAACAGAAAATCTAGCAACAAATTAATGTAAGTACTCAAAGAAAATTTAACTGGTGTAACTCTAATAACTCTAATTTGAATTCAAGTATTTTTTTACCAGGTTTCAATATAATTTCTTTGCATAGAAAAAATGGAAAGCGAGGCGGAGGTTTAATAGTTTATATAAGAGAATATTTGCAGTATATTATCAGGCCTGACATGAGCAATTCTGATGACGATAATGAGGTCTTAACAGTTGAAATCCAAACAAAAAAAAAAAAACAAAAAATTTAATTATAAGTTTTTGTTATCGCCCACCTTCGGGCAGTATAGAAAATTTTAATTTATTTTTAAATGACATTTTAAAAAAAAGCATTTTTGAAAATAAATTATACTACTTAATAGGTGACATTAATTTAGATTGTTACCAATACCACACTAATTATGGCGTTAAAAAATTTTACAACGAGTTATTTGAACTCGGTGCTTTTCCCATAATTAACAAACCAACAAGAATAACTCCTACATCAAAAACCTTAATTGACAATATTATAACAACTGATGTTTTCAATAAATCTCTAAAAAAAGGCATCATTAAAAGTGACGTCTCGGACCACTTCCCTATTTTTTTCTCTATTAATATCGACGCAGATATAATATCTCAACAAAAACAAACTTTTAAAAAACGTTTTTTTTCTAATGATAATTCAAAAACATTTAAAGAACAATTATCTTATCTTCATTGGAAACAAATAGATACCTGTGCTGACGCTAATTTAGTTTATAATACGTTTTTTAAAACGTTTTATGAAATATACGATGCTAATTTTCCAAAACAAATAGTAAATAAAAAAGCTAAAAGTTTAATGTCACCTTGGATCACAAAAGAACTAAAAAAATCCTTCAAAATTAAACAAAAATTATACGTAAAATATTTAAAGACAAAAACTGAACAAAATAAAGTTCTCTATAAAAAATACGCTAAAGAATTTGAAAGACAGAAAAAAAAAAAGAAAAAAAAATTACTATTCTAATTTGCTTGATAGAAATAATCTTAATTCGAAACGTACGTGGGAAATTCTAAGAGAAACTCACTGGCATGCAGAAATTAAAAACGAGCTCATTGCCTAAAACTATTAAGATTAATGAAGAAACATCATTTGATCAAATTGCAATAGCTAACAAATTAAATGAATATTTTGTATCAGTTGGTCCTAATCTGGCCCAACAAATTCCTATCTTGAAAAACAAATTGAATAATTATGCTTTTCCAATAACTTCGTTCTTAAACTCCTTTGAGTTATCCTTTGAGGAATTTGAACTTTCTTTTAAAAAGCTTAAATCTAATAAATCAGTTGGTTATGATGATATTTATTGCAATGTTATTATCGACTCGTATGGAGTCATTAAAGATATTCTATTTCAAATTTTCAAATGTTCAATAAAACAGGGTATTTTCCCCGACAATTTAAAAATAGCCAGAGTTTCACCAATATTTAAAGGGGGGAATTCAACCAATGTTTCAAATTATCGCCCCAATTCGATTTTGCCTGTTTTTTCTAAAATTTTAGAAAGAATTTTATATAATATAATTTTCAATCATTTATCTTCAAATAATATACTGTATCAATATCAATACGGATTTAAAAAAAGTAATTCAACTGAACACGCTATACTCCAAACTACCCGCAATATTGCTGAATCTTTTGAAAAATCTCAATATACGTTAGGTGTTTTCATAGATTTATCGAAAGCCTTTGATACTATCGACCACAAAATCCTATTTAAAAAAATAGAGTACTATGGAATTAAAGGAAATATTTTAATGATTCTTAAAAGTTATTTAAGCAACCGTAAACAGTTTGTTTACAGTAATACAACTGTCTCTTCCAATTTATTAGATATAACATGTGGGGTCCCTCAAGGTTCTATACTAGGACCTCTTCTCTTTTTAATTTACATTAATGATCTCTCTAAAGCCTCAAACTTAATGACGGTCATGTTTGCCGACGATACAAATCTTTTTTTAGCTCATAACAACATAACAACATTATTCCAAAATATGAGTATTGAATTAAAAAAAGTTTCTGACTGGTTTAAAGTGAATAAGCTGTCACTAAATGTTAAAAAAACTAAATGGATACTTTTTCATCAAACTTCAAAAAAAAAGCTACTACCTCCTGTGATGCCCTTACTTTTTATTGACAAAGTTCAAATAAAAAGAGAACAAACTACTAACTTTTTAGGAATAAATATTGATGAAAACCTTAGTTGGAAGTATCACATTGATTTATTGTGCAACAAAGTTGCTCGAAATATAGGAGTAATGTACAAGGCTAGAAATGCTTTAAATAAACACAGTTTAACACAATTATATTTCTCTTTAATCCATTGCCATATAAATTATGCAAATATTGCTTGGGGTAATACCAATAAATCTAAACTGCTACCTCTTTATTGTCAGCAGATGCATGTTGCTCGGCTTATCAATTATAAAGATCGATTTGCTCATGCCAAACCATTATTATTTCAAATGAAAATTCTTAATATTTATCAGCTAAATATTTTTAATATACTTTGTTTTATGTTCAAGTGTAAAACCAACGAATCTCCAGTTTCTTTTCATAATCTATATACCTTAAAAGATAAAAATAAATATAACTTAAGAAATGATAATCAAATTCAGCAACCTTTATCTTTAACTAATTTTGGAAAGTCATGTATTTTATATCGAGGAGCTTTTCTATGGAACAAAATAGTTTTAAAAAATTTTGATTTTTCCCATGAATGGAATTATCTTTCATTCAAGAAAAAACTAAAAGAAATTGTTTTGTCTTTTGAAGACATTTTTTTATATTTTTAAATTCTTTTAAAAATGAATATGAAGTTTATTACATAAGGTAATATATAAATATTATATCTGATCCATAACTTATGTGTTTGTGAAAACAGTACTTTTTAAAATATTTTTGTATTTATATATAAGAGTATCAACAATTTCTTTATTCCAATTTTATTTATATATTATTACGAAATTTACGTTCTCGCTAATTTTTAATACGACATTGTTTAGATTTTATACTTCATGTTAATTTAATGTACTTAATATTCATGAGCGGTTCTCGATGATAAGACCTGAAGGTCTTCTGCGAGTCTCCGCGTTCTTTCTTTTTTGTATATATTTTCTTTTATTGTATAACGATTTTTATCTCAACTATCTTATTGTATAACTATATTGAATATTCAAGAAAAGAACAAAAAAAATATATATAATATATATATACATATATACATATATATATATATATATATATATATATATATATATATATATATATATATATATATATATATATATATATATATACATATATATATATATATTATATATATATATATATATATATATATATATATATATATATATATATATATATATATATATATATATGTATATGTATATATATATATATACATATACATATATATATATATATATATATATATATATATTATATATATATATACATATATATATATATATATATATATATATATATATATATATATATATATATATATATATATATATATATATATGTATATACATATACATATATATATATATATATATATATATATATATATATATATATATATATTATATATATATATATATATATATATACTATATATATATATATATATATATATATGTATATATATATATATATATATATATATATATATATATATATATATATATATATATATATATATATATATATATATATATATATATATATATATATATATATATATATATATATATATATATATATATATATATATATATATATATATATATATTATGCATACATAATGTATACAGTGATGTTACATATACATTATGTAACATCACTGTATACATTAGGTATATAAGTAAGCTTAGCAAAAAACGTTCTTTATCAAAGCTTTGCATGGTTTGTTTTTGTACAACCCGTAGGTTTTGACGACTTTTGGAATGAATGTATTTCCATAGTTTTATTATTATTAATGTTGCTACAATAAAAACAATATTAAAGTGATTTGAACAATGTTATAGAAATTGTAGAAACTAAATAGAGAAAACACCGACACATAACACCTCTAAACCCTACAAAATTATAAACGCAATAAATAACTATAAACGCAAAGTTTGTTTTGATTGTTACAAACACTGCCTCGCTTTGAAGAATCTTCTTTTTCCGTCGCATATATTTATGAAAAGGTCTATTGTTTTTTATACTCCGGTGTGGTCCGATGTTAGTCCGGTGTGGTCCGGTGAGATTTGGTGTGATCCGGTGTAGTATTTGTATACACCGGAAGATCGTTGTTTCTTCAAAAACGAACCTTTTTATTGGTCATCGGAATACCTACGAATCCGTCAGTTTATAATGGTTGTTTTTAATTGTACATTAGCAATTGCTTTTATAAGTATTATTTTTTACAAATACATAGCAATTGTAGATTTTTTTGATTTTTTCAGCTTATATAAAGAAAATACTTTTGAACTTGCTTCCATTAACTTAACGGAAGCTGAGGATAATTATAATAATGTTGCACAAAGGCTTGTGAAAGCTAGTCATGATGTAGGTTTTGTGTATTTAACTGACGTTAAAGGTTATAATTCAGAAGAGTTACTGAAATGGACAAAATGGCTTTTTAATCTAGATATTGATAAAAAAATGAAAATAGCAAAAAAAAGTTTTAATGAAAAAAATGCCAATGTTTATAGGGGCTACTTTCCTGTTGTAGAAGGTGGTCATTCTTACAAAGAAGCTTTTGAAATGGGGGGCTTTAATTCAATTTATACAACAGAATATCCGACACCTTCTAGCATACGTAATATAACAACTTTTGATGGAAGACCTATCATGAGAAATATTTTAGAAGAAAGAAATACATGGCCAGTATCAGGAAATGATACTGAAGATAGACAATTCAGGTTAGTTATGGAGAAATATCAACGTTTTTTTTATGAAACTTCCTCGGTTATATTTAGACTAATGATTCATGGGTTAGGTTTTGAAAAAGAGAGTTATGATTATCTTTTTGGACCAAAATCACTGTCCACTTATCGTTTGATTCATTATCCTAGTCGGTTAGCTAATTCTCCTGAAACTATACCAGATGAAGCTTGGGATGGTGATATTGCTATAGCTACTGGTGAACATTTTGACAGCACTATAATAACACTTTTGTCAACTTTTCATTTTACTGGTTTACAAATTAAGCCTGTTGGTTATAGCAAATGGATTAATGTACCTGCAGATAAGCACAGATTAGTTGTTAATGTTGGTGCCCTTCTAGAACATCTAGCTGATAGAAAAATGGTTGCAACAAATCACAGAGTTTTGGATGGTGGTAATAGTAGATATTCAGTTGCCATGTTTTATGAACCATCTCATGATGCAGATATATCCAAAACATTTTCTGGTAAGAACAATGATTATGTTGGAAATTTTATTAAGTATGGGCTTTGGATGTCAAATCGAACAAAAATGTTTGCTGAATACAGAACAACTGATTTCGGTGTTGATGTTGATTAGTTTATTTTTGTTGTCAAAGTGTAAAATATGCAAAAAAAGCTATTCGTTTTTAAATTTTTAAAAATTTTTAAAAATAATAAAATTGTTTGTTATTTCATTCTAGAACTTCAGTTTCTAATAACACAAAATAATAAGAATCCAGTTTTTATTTAAATTTAGGTTTTAAGTTTTTTAAATAAAAGTCAGATTTTACTTTGCTAATTTTAAATGAAACTGTGTTACTACTTATTAATTAAGTAATCTAAAGTGCAAACCTAGCTAAAGACCATTGTGGACCTGTTGTGACAACTTAGCATAAAAATGTCCAATCATAATAAAGCACTAAAACATAACTTCTTTTTTTATAATGCAATTGAAACATTTATAGTTTATATGATATCCAATTTTGTTTTAATTCGGAATTTTTTTAATTAGTATGTAAATATGTGTTTAAATGAAATTAACTACTACTTATAAAGTATTTTAATATTCTAAGGTTCACGAGCAACTTTTGTAATTTTTATATTAAAAAAAATGTGTATGACATATGCAGCAATGATTGCATAATTCCAAAAAATGCTGACATTATGCTGACATTATTGTTGATTGCATAATTCCGAAAAATGCTGACATTATGCTGACATTATTTTTTGGAATTATGCAATCTTTGCTGCATAAGTCATTCACATTTTTTTTAAATATAAAAATGCTAATTAAAAAATGCTGACAGCATTTTTTGCAACTTTTCTGTCATTAAATAGCAATATTTAATGAACAGGTATCAACTTAAAACTTAGTGTATTGACATACTTTTACATTGCAGTTTTAAATACCATATTAATTTTTTAGTACACTTTAACTACATGTAAATGAAACAATAAATCCATATATTTTGGAGTATTTGATGGTTAAAGTAGCACCCTGATAATTTTTTTGTGGAGCATTTACAGCTTAAAATGCAGGTATCAAATGCCACTTTTAAAGCAAAATATATTTTTGCATTTTTTGTCTTTTCTAAATACAGTTTCAATAAAGTTTATCCAAATGCTGTGTAAGAATAAAGTTTTTTGCTAACTTATTTACAACAAAATTTTAATTTTAGGTAGTAAAAACTTAATTTTTAAGTTTTTCTAAGGTCTTATTTTTTTATTTTATACATTCTAATTTTTTTGTACTTAAAACAGGCTGGGAGGGAGGAGAAGAGCAATGGAACATCTTTCCAAATCCCTCCAAACTTTAATAAAAAAAAAATTAGTTTATAAAGACAAGTCTCCAAATAAATTTATATAACCAAAAAAGACAAAGGTAATTTTAAAATTAAATTTATGCACCCACATGGTCCCAGTCCAAGTTTTTTTTGTCCCACACAAGAAGATACATCTTTTTTCATTTTGTGTATACAAAATTTCAGAAATTGAATTGACAGATATAACTGTATGTATGCATGTGCTATTTTGTTATATCTCAGGTACAAAAAAATTAGAAATAATGTATAGATTTGCTATTGACTTTAAAAAAACTTCAAAATTAACTTTTTACTATTTAAAATTATTATATATGTAATTTTGTCATAAATAAGTGGGCAATAATTTTTATGACGACTCAGCATTTAGGGCCGACGACACTGGGGAAACCGGGGTCACGTGTCTCTCTCCCCCCCCCCCTCTTTCTCGCTTTTTTTCTAAAGGCTTTTTTTTTTCTTAATAAAATTCAAGATATGGGGACTTTTTCTAAAAATTGACGATTGTGCCCTTCCACTTCGAAACCCGTGTCGTCGGCCATGACATTTAAATAGTCGTTTTATGTAAAATAATAGGTTGTATTTAGAAAAGAAAACAATTACAATTAATATATTTTGGTTTGAAAGTGATGTTTTATGTTGTAAAAAGCTCATAAAAAAATAATAAATTGACATCGCCATCTTTATTTTTTTCACAAAATCCTTATATTTGAATAATAACTTTTTATTATTTAATTTAAATTATTCAGTTTTATTCAGAATTATTCAGTTTAAATGTAGTTAAGGTGCTTTAAAAAAAGTTAATATGATATTTAAATCCGCCATGTAAAAGTTGAAGTACATTTAGGTTGATACCTTATTGTGTGACAAAAAGCATGTTGCAAAATATATTGTCAGCATAAATAAGAAAATTGAAACCTGAATATCTTAATTATCGTAAAGAGTTGAAGGATCCAACTTTCAGATTTTCCTAGTTTTCATAAACCCTATAAGATATAAAAATTAGCTAAATCCAAAACATCGGGTGACGTAAGTTTGCTGATTTGACATGGAATGACTTATGCGCATTCTATGTACATGAATTTTAAATGATCAATAGAAATAAGTTTTATGATTAAATAATAAAGTACTCCCAGGTGCTTAATACACGTGTGTGTGGTGATGGGGTCAGCGGGAGACGTTTATTAAATTTTGGAAAATAGACTGCTCACAAGATTAATAGAACCTCTGCTATTAATCTTCAATTATAGTCTTTGTAATTTTGCCTTAAAAAGTAGACAACCAACTCACTAAGGCTTCGTCCGTAAATTACGTCAAGCAATATTTGACAGTTGTTGACCTCCTCACCCTCGTCACAAAATCGTTATTCTTTAAGCTTGGTTTTCACTAGTTATAGAAATGTCGCACTTCAGTTGTACAACTATGATGTTTTGTAATGGAAAAATTTTCTTGCGACTACTTTGTACAACAAGATTTAACAAGTTGCCAACTACTTTGTACAACAAGATAGAATCAAATCAATATCGGCAAATGTTGTTGTACAACATTTCTACTATTGTTGGAAAACAAGCTCTAGTAGCAAGTTCTTTACGAGTCGTAACGAAACTACTAACCCTTCCCCTCTTCCGTAGATCGTGACGTCATTTATGGACAAACCCTAATGAAGATCAAAACTCCCGCCACCCTAAGGCCCGTTTATAAAAGCTGAAAAAAAATCCTTATGATGCTATAAATAAAAAAATTGTAATGTATTTTTGCCCAGTTTTTTTTTTAATTTTGCGTAATTTAATTTTTGTAGCACTATATGGACCACATATATGAAATATAAGAAGTGTAATTAGTCTTATTTCTTAAATAATCGAAGTTTTTTTGGATTCTACAAGCATCCCGCCTTCAAATATCTCTTTAATCAAAGAAGACTCATTATATCATTCTATAACTTCATCTATTTTTAAAAATTATACTTTGATTATTTTATTATTATTTATTAATATCATATGATTATTATTGATTAAAGCTGTTCTAAACTGGTTTCTCTTATGAAAACAGTTTAGGACAGCCAGAAAAACTGTGACTTTTAAAACGTATTTTAGTTCACCTGATGTTCACGTTGCTTGTTAGTTATAAAAATCTTATGCAGAAAAATTCTTCTTGCTGTAGTTTTATTTAAAAATAAGATTCCACCGATATTTTATTTTGAATTGCTGGTTTCAATAATGTTATTTTTTAATTATTGGTTTCAAAAAATGTTGATACGTCCTTTTATTGTTATTATTTATAAAAAACTTTCATGAAGCAAAGGAAAAATATCATGAGTTCAAAAATGATATTGTCAAAGTAAAAGACTTATTTTCTATGACCCTCTCTAACCGAATCAAACATATATCAGTACGCCTTGCTTTAAAAAAAAATGAACACAAAACAGTTATTGTCATAAACCTAGAAAATTAGAAATTCCAGAGAGATGTTACAAAAATAAAATATCAAGTCAAAGATGAAGGAAACAAACTTTTGAATTGCATTGTCACAATGTTTTATCTTCACGTGTAAAATCTACTACCCCTTTATAAAAATGCCTTCTTTTCTAGGCTTTTTCATTATAAAGATGCGTTGTTTTTATATTGAAGAAAACTAAACTTATAATACTAACTTCTTCAGATCACAAAAAGTTTATTGTGAGAAGTAATATTATTTGCATAATGGAAAAAAAATTATACTGCTACAAAATCTACTAAAAACATTTTATTACTAAAATCGTTATATAAATAATAACAAGAAATGTGTTCAAGCAAAGAAAACTATTTTCTATCCTTTCAACTTATTTACAGTGATATTCAGCAACATATACAAAAAAATTTAACTGAAATAAATATTACCATTAAGAAAATATACATAACTGATCCTATCAAATATACAGATTATAATAAAATTTAGAAAAATTCAGACTCATAGCTAAACAAAGTAGCTTGAGTCGAAATTCTTGTTGTGCATATTCTGGAAAAAATTCAAAAGCTTAATGTACCGCACTAGTTTTCACTATCTTGTATTATATAATATAGATATGTAAGTATTGCTGAAAAAATACAACTTCCATGTGCTGAAATACCATTATTCCATGCAACAAAAAATATAATTGTGCATTTAGTAAAACATGGGCAATAACAACTAATGCATGAATACAAGTTATTAAAAAAAAAATTATTTAGTTGTTTTATCTATAGCTCAATTAGCAGTGCTTTTACAATCTTAATACACAATAGTAAATATGGACTAGTAATACTAAATAAAACATTGCATTATAACGGATTATTTTTGAATAATGTATTAGGTTTTAATAACTTTGTTAATAAAGATTTACTTTTCACTTTTAATACTAATTTATTATTAAATTTTGGGAGAACTTTTACTTTTATAGACTCTAATTTTATTTTTCTAGTATCTTTCTACATTACCTTCTTCCAGTCTTTTTTTAATGGTTTATTTTTTTACAATGAAAAAAAAAAAAAAAACTAAATTATTTTGTCATTATTTTGTTTATTATATTAAGATAAGATATTTTAAAATTATTCTTTAATAAACCTTTCAGGTGATAGGAAATAGTAGGAGGAGTTTCTTGAAGATTCGGGTTGTTAGCAATATCTAGTTTTATTGTATATCAATTCTATTTTTATCTATCGGATGGTTTTGGTTCGTGAATGATTAAAGAATTAACTAATAATAATTAATAACAGATTAAATTAATCTGTTTGAATTCAATTTTTCATTTTTTGTATAAACTTTTATAAACAATATTACTGATATAGATTATAGATGTTACCTATATTTGAACTCCAAT